TTGAACCACCAGCCTCCTGGTTAGCAGTCAAGTGCCTTAGGCATTAGGAATCAGAAATACCAATCGTTGGATTAAAGAGGAAATGAATCCAGCTTTAACAACTATGTCCAGGTTAGAAAATAGCAAAAGCAATTCTTTCCAAGACATTTTATAATATAGAAATAAAAAATATATTGGAAATTGCCACTATGTTAGGTGACAATGGAGCTAAGAGATACCCACTTTTAGTTTGTTAAAAGCTGTTTGGTGACGTAGTGGTTAAGACATTTGGCTACTAACCAAAAAGTTGGTGGTTTGAACTCACCAGCTGCTCCATGGGAGAAAGATGACAAAAATCTGCTTCCATAAAAATTTACAGCCGTGGAAACACTATGGGTTAGTTCTACTCTGACCTGTAGGGTTGCTATGAGTTGGAATGGGAGCTCTGGTAGCATAGTGCCTAAGGCATTTGACTGCTAACCGGGAGGCTGGCGGTTCAAACTCACCAGCCACTCCTCGGAAGAAAGATTGGGCAATCTACTTCTGTAGTGATACCGCCTCGGAAACCCAAAGAGGGGTCGCTATGAGTCTAGTCTGACTCGACAGCACATAATAACGTCAACAACATGAGTTGGGCTGGAATTGACTTGATGACAGTGGGTTTGGGTTTTATTTATTTGTTTATTTATTTATTTTTAAGCCCTTAAGATCTTCTTCTTCTTTTTTTAAATGTAAGATGGAATCATTTCAGTAAAGTTTTCTAGGTTTCCCCTTATTTCTTTTCTCCTCCTTCCTGCTGGCAGAAATCCTCATGAGGACTATGAGATCTTCATGAGCCACCCCTCATCTCTAAATTGCATTACTGCAAGGTAACAATTCTGATCAGAGTTCAGCTGCTCTGAACACAATCCAGGCATTAAGGTTCTTCTGGATCTTTCGTGGGCGATGCTGAGAACCTCTGGTTAAGATGAGACCTTAAGGTCCTATCTTGCCTTATGAGATATATAAAGACACAATGTAGCTGGTATACTGTTTATTGGCCTCAAAACAGATGTATAACAATGGGAGGCAGAAGACTGGTAGGAAAACAGAGTTTAAACTCAAAAGCTTGTATTTTGATTAAAAAAGTGCAGCAGTATATTAAGATTATATGGAAAGTCTGGTGCTATTGTTACAGAGAAAATGGAGTTTCTGAGTTTGATAACTATGAAGACTCACCCATGAGTGGCTGGGCAAGGACTTTCCATTGAGGAAAAAAATAGTTTTTACAATAGGCAAAAGCTGTTATTGGACTCACACAGACTTTTGGATCTCGTTCACTTGAGAAAGAACTATTCTTCCATTGACGCTCTCCTGTGTGATGGCCTTGATCGTTGGAGCTGTAGACACTGAGGGAAAGAAGTGATGAAGACGTCACTGCCACACTCCTTCCACCATCTGAACTGTACTTTCAGTTCCCTGCTTCCAGGACCTGAATTCTCTTCCTCTCAAAATGATCACTAAGCAATATGGTGGGTTCTTCTGTAGCGAAAGGAACCTCACAAAGGCAGGTCTTTCTCCCCATTCTCCAGGGAGTGAGTATATGTGAACATGGTCACCTGTAGCTAGCAAGCCCTTAGTCCTAGGTGGGCCTGATGAAGAATCTGGTCTCTGACAGGAGAAGTCCTTGCTGTCTGTGTGGGCTTTGTAGCACACGGGCCAAAGATTCCATGAGTCTACAGAGCACTAAATGTCCTTCTGGACACGTCATTTTAAGAGAATATTAATACACTCAAGTGGGCTGAGCACAGTCACATATTTAGAAAGTGTGCACGACAAGGGATAGGTAAGAAGCCAAAAATGTTGATCATGATCACTGTTCTCAAAAATATGACATATTTGAATAGATGCCTTGTTGACGTATCAATAAACTGATTATAGATTAGAGGGAAGAATTGAAAGCATTAGTTGCTGTCGAGTCAGCTCTAATGAATGGAAATACAGGGGAGAACTTTAAAATCAAACCTCTCCAACTATAGATTGTGCCATCCTATAATGTAGTGGGTCCCCCAACCCTAGACATGGATAAGGACAGGCTGGAGGGCCATCTGCCAGGATCTTTCAGAGGGTTATCGGTTAGACAAGCTGTTAAGCGATGATTCCTCCAACTCTGAGTCTTCGACTCTCCAATGCCTTAGAATATCTTTACTACAAATTAATCAGAAAGTTCAGCTTGTCCCAAACTCTGATTCTCTGGGATTTTCTGAGATTGTAAAGGTAATCTGGGAAAACAGGATTCCCAGGTCAAAGAAGTTGGGGAACACTGGGCTAAACACATTAAAATCTTTGTTGTTCCTTCCTTACCTTTCTTATTCTTTTTCTTCCCAGTACTTGTTCAGTACTTAACATTCTGAAGTGCAGCCTGACTTTTCAAGAGGACACTAATGGAACACATCTTTCATAATACACTGTTAAAATCTCATGGAACACTAGTATTCTATGGAATATAATCTGGGAAATTGTTGTTGTTATGTGCCATCATTAGGTGGAATCATTTCCTCTTAATTTTCTAGGAGTTTAGTGAACAGACCCATTATTTAACATTGTTGTTGTTAGTTGCTGTTAAGTCAGCTCTAATTCATAGTGACCGTCTATCTAATGAATGAAATGCTGCCCGCTCCTGCACTGTTATTTAATAGAGACATACTATTAATTGTCATTTTGTCTACTTTACTGCTTGCTAAGAGCTTTCATATATATTGTTGAGGACAAGATGGAGAACTTACTTTGTTGTGTATCACATAATTTGTTAAGTTGATTCAAAATTCCTGGCCATTTGGGCATAAAATTATCCAGTACGTTTGGGAGTATGCTAAGAATTGACTATTACAGGATGAATGAAGGAACTTGCTACTTCCTTAAAAAATAAGTAGATTCAAACAATGAAAGAATCTTTTCTTACCTTTCACACTTGACTTAGACTCTTCCATTATCCTATAAAAGTGATAAAGGTTAAAGTTCATTTTAGTATGAGCAACAATTATAAAAACTCAGGATGAACTAACTTCCCTTGCCTGCTTGTAAATTCTCAGCTCTTTAATGAAGATAATTGTCTGAGGTAGGTTGTCACAAAGTTATGAGTTCATGGGAGAATCTTCCTAGATCCAGAAGGCAGTGGGTACTGCCTCCGACTAACCCTGGGGTCAGAGGAAGTCCACCAAACCATGCCTTCCTTTCAGCTGCCTGTGAGCTCTGCCTCCATCCCCTTCCAATATCTGGGCTTCAAGTCTGGACCCTTGCGCTTCACAGACTGTTCAAAGTTTGGTCCAAGAGTTTTTATTTGTGAATTTTAAACATCTTAGAACTTCTTCTCTTAGATCATAGAATGTATGTGCATGCCCCTCATGTGGCCAGCCATTACTAGGAATTCTAGATAGAAAGTCTAGGCATCTAAATCCCTTATGAATCTTTTCCTGTTAGGCTAAAGCATTCCTTTTTTTTTAGGAGACAGAATTGTGTGCATTCCCACTGAGAAACACTACAGCCAAACCATCTTAGTTGTTTCTTTATGGATACTTCAATATCTTAATTTTAACTGTTCTGACCTCAAATTTTAGTACTGTGGGAGTAATACTGTAGCTAATTAATTCACACTTGTTTAATGAAATAAAACGTGATGTACATATCGTTAGGGGAAATTCATCATGAACCATTTCTTCTCTAGAGTGATGACTGGTAGTAGAACCTCAAGTGCGTGAATGCACACACAAGACCGGATGCCCTTTGCATCCTCCTCTTCCCACCCGCCTTTGCCTTACCCTTCACTGTCTCCTTCCAGAAGCTGGCGGTAGGTGGCAATCTCCTTTTCTAAGTGGGTTTTGATGCCCAGAAGGACCTTGTATTCGGTGTTCTGACGCTCCAAGTCATGGCGGAGCTGCCCCAGTTCCTCCTCGTAGTGGGAGATGATCTGTTGCATATCCTGGAGCTGGCACGAATACCGAGCCTGGGTCTCCAGCAACATGTTTTCCAAAGCAGATTTCTGAAAGAGGAAATGATATTTCTCTTGTTAATCAATTGAAGAATTGATTGAGTCAGTAACATTTGCTTACTGAATACTTAGAATGTGTTGATCACTCTGCTAAGTGGTGTGGTAGCTGCTGGGAAAACCATATGAGAAGCATGTGCATTCTGGAGTTGAGCAATGTTGAGATTTTGGAAGCCTCATTTGTTTTGTGCATGAAACCTTTGTATCAGGGAGCTCTTGGCCACTCAGCTGCATTTCTGCAGTGTTTGTCATTTGGGACTGGGCATATGCAGCCTTGAACTTCACTGATGTTTACCTTCTTAAAAAAACCAAACTCATTGCCATTGACTCGATTCAGACTCACAGTGACCCCTATTGGGTTTCTGAGGTGGTAAATCTTTACTGAAGTAGATTGCCCAGTCTTGCTTCTGTGGAGTGGCTGGTGGATTTGAACTACTAACCTTCTGGCTAGCAGTCAGATGCCTTAGGCACTGTGCTACCAGAGGTCCTTGTTTACCTTCTTATACATAATTTTTTTTTTCCCCTCTTTGGCCATAGAGATTATGAGGGTCTAGAGTTCTCCCAGGAGCTCTGGTAGCATAGTGCTTAAGGCACTTGGCTGCTAACCAGAAAATTAAACCCACCAGCCACTCCTTGGAAGGAAGGTTGGGCAATCTACTTCCGTAGTGATGCTGCCTCGGAAACCCAAGGAGGGGTAGCTATGTGTCGGGTCCAAATCCACGGCACATAACAACAATAACAGCAGAGTTCTCCCAGGAAATCTAGTGGCACAGTAGTTAAGTGCTTAATTGCTAACCAAAAGGTTGGTGGTTTGAACCCACCAGCTGCTCCATGGGAGAAAGCTGTGACAGTCTACTTCTGTAAAGATTGTCTCCTTGGAAACCCTATGGATAGTTCTGCCCTATTCTACTGGGTCTTTGTGAGTTGGAATTGACTCAATGGCAGTGGATTTAGAGCTCTCTCACTCCAGAACACCATGTGGCTTCATCACCAGCCATTCACAAGCTGTGTGAGTTTGCCCCATTTATTTCACCATTTGGAGCTTTAGTTCCCTCCTCCATAACACAGAAGTTCTAAGACCTACTTAGGAAGGTTAATGTAAGGATTCACAACATTTAATGTAATTGCTTCCTTAGCACAACATTTGGCACAATGTGGGCACTCAGTAAATGATAGTGCTTATTATCAATCTCATCATGAACAATTTGGATGGAGAGCAGAATGTGAGAGATATTGCAAGGGAGTAGAGGAGTTGGGGTGGGTTGAGAGGTTAAGGAAGGCTTTGTGGAGAAGGTGGTACCTGGCCCAGGAATTTCCAATCCATACTCACCTTGCTGCACTGCGTCTGCAGGTCAATCTCTAGGGCCTGGAAAGTCCGCTTCAGCTCATGGATGTCACTTTGGCTGCTCTGAACAACTGCTGGACTGGCCACCTCCTGGGACATAACTGTGGACTGTAAGGCCAAGCAAAGGGCAGAGGCATTGACATTGAGACCACAGGACAATAGCACCTCTAGGATGTTTGAACACCTTTCTTTTACCTGTTCTTTAAACCAGTTATCCAAGTCTTGATGCTTCTTCTTTATTATAAACTCATATTCCTGTCTCATATCCTCCAGAATCTTAATGAGATCTTCCCCTGGGCGTGTATCCACCTTCACATTGACCTTGAAGTCATTAGGCACATGCTGTTTCTCCATTTCCTGTTGAACAGCAGAGAAAGAAAAGGAATCATCTTTGACAATCAGAAGACAGGAAGTATATTGAGTGGAAGCAGTAAGTGAGTATTTAAAAAATTATGTTTATGTGGTTGCTACCCTCTCACCGGTTGTGTTTTGTTTCTCAGTTATTGTTTGTTGATGATAAAACATTATATGATTTTTTTCCTCATAGTTTCATAAGGCAAAGAATAACACCAGGCAGGTAATTGAATGGCATTTGTGACTACTACTTAATCTCTGGTTCAAAAACATTTCAGAAGGAATTATGCTTACATAGTGTGTAAAGTTCTGCTCAGGAAATGTTGTTCATTGGTTATGTGATTACTACTACAAAATCGGACATTTGAGACTATAGGCCAAAGCTTTAGTAGCCAAAAGCTAACCAGTGTAGAGGCTTTTAAAAGCTTGTCAAATGCATTATGACTTTGTAGAGCTAACGCCCACAGTATTTCATGAAAACCTTGCAGCCACAGGAAAGGTTTAATTAACAATCATTGTCTAACCAGCTATTCAGAAACAGGGCCTCTTTGATGTTCAGAACAATTTTGTTTGCCTATAATGGGGATTGTTTCTCTATCATCTCTTTAGACTCTCAAGGAATTTTGATGTATGGTAACTTTTAAAAAGTCAGTTAAATGCTTCTGGAAATTAAGATTCTTGATTTTTGCCTCTACTCTTATTTACCTTGGTCAATATTCCATTATTTTTATTCTGTCAACATCCTCTTCCTCCAATTTGCTTCACATTGGGGGGAGCTCTGGTGGTGTAGTGCCTAAGGCATTTGACTGCTAACCAGAAGGCTGGCAGTTCAAACCCACCAGCCACTCTTTGGAAGTAAGATTGGGCATTCTACTTCCATAAAGATACTGCCTCGGAAATCCAAGGAGGGGTTGCCATAAATTGAATCAAGTAGATGGCAGTGAGTTTGTTTTTTTTGGTAGGTCAATGAGGGACATTCACTCTTATGGCATCATATTAACAAACAAGTCTAGATAAACATTGTGTGTTAGCAAAGTTGTTGACCAGTTCATTAATTTTGATTGACCTTTGTCTGTTGTAAGGAGCTCTGGTGGTACAGTGCCTAAGACTGTTAATCAGAAGGTTGGGGGTTCAAACCCACCAGCTGCACTGTGGAAGGAAGATGGGGCAATCTATTTCTGTAAAGATTTGCTGTCTTGGAAAACAAATGAGGGTTGATAGGGGTTGGAATTGACTTGATGGCAGTGGGTTTTGTCTGTTGTATTTGACATCTAAGTAGATAACCTTGAAGATGGAAAAAATGAGATATTTGTGTGGTTTCTTAAAATTCTTTGGAGTGCTTGGGTGGTGCAAATGGTTACCGTACTCGACCGGGAGCCGAAAGGTTGGTGGTTCAGATTCACCCAGAGATGCCTGATGATCTATTTTCAAACAAATCAGCCATTAAAAACCCTCTGCAGCACAATTCTACTCTGACACACATGGGGTCACCATGAGGGGGAGTTGACTCAATGTCAATTGGATTTTAAATTGGTCTGTAATTTTTTAGGTTGAAGGACATTAGGACTGGTGTCGAGATAGTAGTTTCTGTACCTATTGAATTACCCTGAAAGGTGCAGGTAATGTGTTCCTGGGGGAGTTCTACCTGCTCATGGTTCTTCTTCATGAGGATGAGCTCTTTCCTCATTCCCTCAACCTCCTGTTCCAGGTCTGTCGTGACGATGGTCAGATTGTCCAAAGTCTTTCGGAGACCCTCAACTTCAGTTTCCAAATCTATCTTGAAGGAGTGTTCATTTTCATACCTGTGGTTAAAAGAAAGGGAACAGTATACCTGTTGTTGTAAGGACTCCCCTTAGTCTAGATGTGAAGCTCTTACATTTTAGGTTTTATGAGAGCAAATGAATACATCTAGTGCATTTTTGTTTGTCTGTTTCATACTACATTTTTCTATAATTCTGACTCGATATTAGTTTTTTAATTGAGTCACAAGAGTAGAGTCATAAACAGCCACATGCCCATCCTCTAGACCTATCAAGCATTAACACTGCCATATTTAGTTCATCTGTATTGTTTGATGAAGTATTTTAAAGTTGACTGTAGACATTATGGGGTGTTTCTGGGTTGAGCAAATGGTGAAGTGCTTGGATAGTAACCACAAAGATTGGCGATTCAATTTTACCTGGAAGTGCCTAGGAAGAATAGTCTGGTGATCTGCTTCTGAAAAGACATACCTATTGGAAACCCTAGGGAGCACAGTTCTGCTCTGAAACACGTGGGGTTTCCATGAATCAAAACCGACTCTATGACAACTGGCTTTTCCTTTTGGTAGACACCATGATATCTTGTCACTAAATACCTCAGGATGTATTCTCTAAGAAAAAGACATTTTCCTAAATAACCTTAATATTATCACACCTAAAATTAATAATAAGCCTTTAATATCATCTAATGGTTGGTTCAGGAGCCCTGTGGTACAGTGGTTAAAGCACTCAGCTGCTAACAGAAAGGTTGGTGTTTGAATCCACCAGCCGCTCTATGAGAGACATATAAAGCAGTCTGCTTCCATAAAGATACAGTCTTGGAAACCCTATGGGGCATTTCTACTCTGTCCTACAGGGTCATTGGGAGTGAGAATCGACTCGACAGCAGTGGGTTTTGAGTAATGCTTGGTTCATAATCCACTTTCCTCATTTGACCCTAAAAGGTGTCATATATTTGGTTTGTTTAAACTAGGGTCCAGTCACATGCTACACATTGTTATTGTGCCTCTTAATTATAACTTAGTGAGATTTTAGATAGTGGTGAGATTTTAGATAGTGGTGAGATAAGTCTTCCTTTTGCAACAATAAAGTAATAAAAACAAGCATAAAGACACTGTCAAGAAGGAACTTACTTGAGGCTGAAGTCGTCCATTGCCATCCTGGCATTGTCAATGAGTAGAGTGATCTGAGCATTGGCCATTTTATCACCTGCTATCTGTAAAGCATGCACCAGGAGTCATTTCAGTCGGACATACTCACATAGGAGAGCTGCCATTTCTGCCCCTACTTCCCTGGGTATGTGACTTAACAGCACAGACAACTTTCTGGCAGTGGAACAATGAGTAATCAAACTAATAAATATTTATTGAGCACCTACTAGGTGTGGAACACAAAATGAGTTTATAGAAAAAGGATATGGTCTACAGTCAATTTCACTATCTTTTTTTTTACGTTGATATAACTGCTAAAATAATGTTTCTAAAGGAAGGGGAGGGCAGAATGCCTTTTAGCTGTCTAATATCATGAATACATCTTTGCATTTTGCTTAGGCTCATCTACATCTGAGGATGTTAACCAGAGTTTAAGCTCTGAACTTTTTCTTATTGTGGATATTAGTTCAGATCTCCAAAACAATAATAATTATTATTTTAAATGAACATAATTCTTCCTGTGATTGCATTATGTTTTTGATGACTTGTCAAACTGATTTTAAAGGTATTTCATGATAGTTATCACATAGCACTTTTTTGTTCCCCCTCAAAGTGTCCATAGCCCTACACATACCTTGTAGGTATATGTGTGTGTTTGTAACTTATTCCTTGATGAGAATGCCCCAATGATGCTATTAAGATGTTAAGTGAAATAATTATATATCATCTATTGAGCAGCTTAATAAGTTTTAACTGTGTTAAAACCTCCAGTTAAAGACTTTCACTAGATGCTTACATACTTTTTTAACTTTAAGAAGAAAATTATTCTTGAAAGCATTTCTCTAAGTGATTGTGTATATGTCTTTACACAGTATTATTTGCATAATACTTCAGGATCTTATAGTGGAGAAATAGTGCATATTTGATGTATGTCACTGTCTTTAGGAAAATGGGATGGAAAATGTCTCAAGGTCAAAGTATTTTGTTGCATAGAATGTTGAACTAGGAACTAGGTAGGTTTTGGTTCTGGCTGTGTTACTGACCGTCGGCATTGACTGTGGGCCAGTCACTGGGCTTCACTTCATCATTATCTTCAACATTTATACCAGAAACAGACTTAGACTTTGTTAAGTCCTAGCTCTACACTTTGATAAACATTTGGAGCCAGACAATTCTGTGACATTCCCATTGTATTTGCACAGTGAATTTCTTTATTTAGAAAGGATTTTCTTAGGACAAAGTTACCTCTCAATACAAAGGCATCTTTTAAAGATCTGATCCTATTTAAAGCTCCACTGATTTCAAGGAATTTGGCATCATGAATGCACAATAGCAAGATTCAGAGGTGGTAAGAGCACTGGGTCTGGAGCCCAAAGAGTGGGACTGCGATCCTGCTCCCACCCACTAACTAACTGACCTTGTCTGAGTCTCTGTTTCTTCCTAAAGAATAATAGCTGTTTCATTGAAAAGTTTTCAAATAAAATAATGTTTAAAAATACTTAGCACATTCTTGGCACACTAAACACTTTGAAAAATTAGTTGAAACTTAGTTGAGAGAAATATGAATTATATGAGTTTCTTTATTTTAGTTTAGCATTTTTATAATTGGAACCAGTGTCATCAAGGTAAAGCTTCACTTGCTTGTATGCTGACTTAATCTATATTCTGACAAATCAGCCTTTGAAAACTCTGTGGAGGACAGTTCTGCTCTGACACACCTGAGGGGTTGCTGTGGGTGAGAAGCAGCCCAATAGCAGTTGGTTATGAGGTGCTGAGCCACATTCAGAAAAACCATGCACTGGGAGTTCCACAGAATTAGAATGCCGGAAATACCATCTGTAGGGTTATTTGACTTTTGGGAGTCAAACTGATTATTTATCAGTTGCAAAGCCCGGGTCAATGGTCTCATTTCCCAAGCCAACATTCTCATAGACATGAGTAGTGGGTTCTAAAATACATTTGATATACATCACCTTTAAAAACTGGAACTATTTCCCACTGTTGGAGCATACTCAGTACAGTATTATGATAGAGCCACTATTCTGAGACATCCTTTATAGGAATGAATGGATGAGAATGGATTGAGAAAGAATATATGAGGCATAGGTTTTACATTGTATGGTGTAATTAATCATCTAGACTCTCCTCCAGGCAGGGAGTTCATTCTTTTGAAAGATATAGTTGCTATATTAGTGTCACATCATTGCTGCAGGGTGCATAATCTCCTACTAGAGAGGAGAAAATAGAATTTATCACGGTAAACCAAAATACCAATTACTGAGAACCATTTAGGGGGTTTTATCTATAATATCCCTATGACTATGTCCAATTCTGTGTTTCAAAGGAATTGACTTAATTTTTGAACTCAGTATCTTACATTCTTCTTGGGTAATATTTAATATCCCCTAAAAAGGGGAGGGACCTTGTATTACTCAGTGCATTTGAGCAAGGCCCTGGAAGGGCTTTCGGCACCAGGTAATTGAGTGACATTTGGGGTAGGGGGCAGGGGGTATCCTGTGTTCTCTCTTCTGCAAACTGGGGTTGTCGGTTAGATAGACAACCTCAATTTCAAAGGGTTGGTTTCTTCAAACAGAGAAAATACAACTGAATTAAGAAAACCAGAAAAGGGGCATGTATGGGTTTGAAACCAAAGAAGCTCCGTGTTTAATCTCAGATCCCAGAATCCCAGGCTGCCTAGAGAATGAGCATGCTGTCCCCTCCTTGTCATTGCCACCATTCACTTTTCTCAATTCTGTTCCAAAGCATTTAGGCAACCACTTGGTCTCAGTCTGCTCATCTATAAGTACCTACTTCACACCATTGTGAGAATTAAATGAGATAATGTATATGAAATATGTTCTATATGGTTAAAATGCAAGCATAATGTATTATCTTTATTAATAGCATTATTTATGTGGGAAGTAGGCTAGTCAGCACCACATTGTGGTGGAAATTCGAGGTCAGTGCAAACAGATCTTTGTTGGAATTTCACCTCTGCTTGCTGCTGGCTGTGGATATCTTGTTTAACTTTTCTGAGCTTCAGTGCCTTTAAGGGTTGTTGTGTGAAATAAATAGCAATATTTTCATCATTGCAAAAAGCTCTATTGATGTGTAGATTACACATGGTGTCTGGTATACAGGGGTGCTCAATAAATGCTCCCCTCCTCCTTTTCCCCTCTTCCTCTTCTATCAGCTAATAAGTGATCTGACCACATTTTTTTGGAAGTCATGCTCTCAGCTGTGCATTTTAAAAAATCTATTCTCTCCATCCTAAAACCAAAGCACCTTTATTAAACAGAAAACATGGTGAAGATTGTTGAGTCACCTTGTTTTTTTCGTAAAGACAGCTATGCACTATATAGTTAAGATAATTAAATAGTCAGGTATTAGGTTGATTATTCTATAATTAGGATTCATTACAAGGACAGATTTATACTATCTTGATTTGTTCTTCCTACATTCAAACAAGGATAACTGAGTGTTGTGAAAAAATATGGTGTAAATATTAGAAAGCTGTGATCTTACAGAGAATTTCCTGGGAGTGCTTTAGATAAGAGGAGGGTTACATAGTCTTAAAACTAACTTATGAGGTGACTGGATTCCCTCTAGGAGCTCTGGTAGCATAGTGCCTAAGGCACTTGACTATTAACCAGAAGGCTGGCGGTTCAAACCCACTAGCCACTCCTCGGAAGGAAGATTAGGCAATCTACTTCCATAATGATACTGCCTTGGGAACCCAAGGAGGGGTCGCTATGAGTCCAATCCGACTCAACAGTACATAACAACAACAACAACAACAACAGATTCCGTCTACTTCTAGATGGTGTTATGAGATGTCCCAGAAGGTATGAGCCTAGTTTTTTGATATTTGGTTGAAAAGTTAATTATTTTTTTTGGAAAATGTTCTCCCAACTGAATATTCTAACCCATCCTGATTGACTCTTAAGATTTTCATATTATTCTGTTTTCCCGAAGTAAGTCATTCTCAGACTGTGAGCAACTTTATGGTCTAGCAGCCCACAGGGATGTGAGGATGACATCTGCTAGTGGAGTGACAGTTTTTAAGTATGGTCTCCAAAATGGTGTCATTTGGCCTTTCATGGATAGATATAATCACACTGTCTCTAGGGCTTTGAGGTAGATCAGACAGATGTAATGAAAAAGTCTGTCCTCACTTGTGCCTTGTGCACTGAGTGTGCAAAATAAATACTGGTTCTTCTCACTATTACATCATTGGGTCATAAATGATACTGGACACTTATACCCAGCTGATTGCCTTATACCTTTTAGATTTTTCTTCTGTGTGTGTGTATGAAAAATCAGTCTCATTTTAAAAATAGTCTTAGCATTTCTGTAATTTTTGTTGCCTTCACTTCTCATATGATTTATGTACATATATATATACATACATACATATATATATATTTGTTGTTGTTATGTGCCATCGAGTAGGCCCTGACTCATAGCAACCCCTCCTTGGGTTTCTGAGGCAGTATCCCTATGCAAGTAGATTGATTGCCCCATCTTCTTTCCGAGGAGTGGCTGGTGGGTTTGAACTGCCAGCCTTCTGGCTTCTGGTTAGCAGTCAAGTGCCTTGGGCACTACGCTACCAGAGCCTATATATATATATATACCAAACTTACTGCCATGGAGTCGATTCTGACTCATAGAAACCCCCATTGAGTTTCTGAGATGGTAAATCTTTACGGAAGTAGATTGCTCAGTCTTCCTTCTGTGGAGTGGCTGGTGGGTTTGGACTGCCATCCTTCTGGTTAGCAGTCAAATACCTTAGGCACTACACCACCAGAGCTCCTTATAATTTATGTATAGAAGATTAATTATACAAAACAGACTTGCCCAAGCCCGAACTGAAGGTATAAATAAGAAAGATGTTCAAATATCTTTGTGCACAATTACTTTAAGCTCACTTGCTGTTTTCCGAGAAATTGTTTTCTGTGCTAACTTCTCCCAGGGCTCCCCTGAAATGCAGCTGCATGTCTGGCCCCAGGGTCACCCAGGACATTACCTGGTCCTGCAGATGATGGATGTTTTCTTCATACTGAGAGTAATCTTGCTTCTTGCCGGCATCCCTTTGCTGATGCCACTTCAGGATGTGACTTTCCAGCTTCACATTGGCCTCTTCTAGTGCCCGCACCTTCTCTAGGTAGGAGGCCAAGCGGTCATTGAGGTTCTGCATTGTTTCCTTCCCATTTCCACCTAGGAGGAAACTGCCTGTTCCAGACCCCCATGACCCTCCACAGGGCAAGTAGCTTGGCCTGGTGTAGGACAGGGAGATGTGGATGCCCCCTGCACCACCATGGACGCTGGGAGCTCGGGGGAAGCTCCCAGGCCGGCCTTGGCTTCCTCCTATGCCATGGAGGAAGCCCGAGGGGGTCTGGCTGAGGCTGTGGCTGGAGTTCATGGTCCCATCTGCGTGGGGAGCAGGGCTGGGCTCTGCTCTGCTCCCTGGCACCACAGGACTGAGCCGCCTCAGACTGCCCTGGATGGTTTTATGCCCTTTGCTGTGGGAGTTCCCTTCTCTGACAACTGTACCAACAAGATCGTATCATTGTGCAACGTGTGTTTCCTCTTGGTCAATCTACAGTGCCCCGGGCTTACACACATTGTTGTTGTTTAGAACCACATCAATGTACCAGTTTGCTTCTTCCCTTACAGCTGTAACTGGAGGTGTGGCCCACAATACTAGGTGGGTATTAGTCTCAGGTGTCTTGCTAATCTTTCAGTGTAATTTTTTCATTGTCCATCTATCCGAACAGGGTCAGATTAAAGTTCACAGAAGGGTTACTTGGCCCAGTATAGGTTTCCTTTTAAAAAAACAGAAATTAAACACATGTACACACACATATTCACCCACACATATATACTCCACCTCTCCAGGGAGGGGTGGGGGAGAGACTCCTAAGAGCAGAGCCAGATTAGAACAGAATCTTAGATTCTGGAATAAAAATACTTATGCTGAGGAAATGGAGAGTGGTCTGAAGATCTGATGCCTTTGCAGCAGTTGCTGTTTGATGGAAAGTAATTACAAAGCAATCACTCTTTAGAACCAACCCTCAATTGCAATTAATTAATTAATGGCCATGCCTTCCACTTCCAAGTTGCCTTTCATCCCAGCACACCTCAAAACTAAACAAAGTCGCCTGTGCTCAGGACTGTCCTTGGCCTCTGGGCAGGATATGCTGTTGCTTAACAGGCCTGCCCCATGGCTGAGCTTGGAATGGTTAGGCCCTGTGGGTCTGTGCCCTGTAGAAAGGATGAAGGAAAACAGGAAACATGCCATGGACAGTCTACTGTGTTGGATGAATTTTATACTTGGTCTGCCAAGGTAAAGATTAAGGATAAAGGAAAAAGTAGGTTGGGAGTGGGGAGCCATGTGCTGGTTACTGGTGACTAGATTTAAAGGGAACTTAGAAATAAAATGTCAGCATTGGAGGGGACTTTAGTGGTCCTCAGTCCAAACCATTTATATTACAGATGAGGAAACTGAGGCCTGTAGAGGGGACATGGTGAGTGACAAAGCCAGGGCAGGATTCTTTTTGCCACATAGGACTGTAACTGTGAGTTAAAAGCAACTCAGTTACCCAAAAACAACGTAATTAAGTTTGTGGAAATAATATTCCTTTTTTTTATCCCTTTAATGTTCATGAGATCAGTAGTGATGGCCTTTCTTTCATTTCTGATATCAGTAATTTGTGTCTTCTCTTTTTGTCTTGGTTAGCCTGGGTAGAAGTTTGCCATTTTATTGATCTTTGCAAAGAACCAGCTATTGGTTTCATTGGTTTTCTGTTTACAACTTCATTGATTTTTGCTTTAATTTTTACTATTTCATTTTTCTGCCTTTTTTTTGGGGGTGGGGGACTTAATTTACTATTATTTTTCTAGTTTCCTAAAGCGGAAACTTAGATTATTGACCTGAGATCTTGGTTCTTTTCTAACATATGCAATTAGTGCAATGAATTTCCCCGTAAATACTGCTTTTGCTTCCTTCCACAGATTCTGATAGGTTATATTTTCATTTAGTTCAACATTTTTTTTTTTTTTTT